AATATCCACGAAAAAGCTGTTGTTTTGGCTGAAGCGGATCCAAATTCCCAAATGTGTCACCTTCTACAAGTTCTCGACCTTATGAAACAAAAACGATGGGTAGAAGCCAAGTTTTTATGGGTCGAGAATCTGCCGTCATATGTTAAGTCAGAAAAAAAGGAACAAGTAAATTTATTTGGAAGTCTTTCAGAATGTTTTTTTGAACAGTTCTTCCACGATTCCTTGGACCAAAATCTCATCATTGTTAAAAGTACAGTAACAACTGAATGTGATTCAAGCTATTGTCCAAAGAAAGTTCTGTCTCCGGTAAATTATTTCGATATTGTACTTATGTAAGTATCTAATCATTTAGAATGGGTCTGTGGGCATATCAGCATTGAATGCTACAAATGTCAATTTTTTTCAATACAATTAAATTAATGAACTATTTGTGACTAATCGGAGTGGTGACCAGGTTATTTGGTGTGGACGTAAAGTAGATGGCTAGTTAGGGTGTGCTAGTCAGAGTGGTTAATTGGTGTGGATTGGATGGCTATTCGGTGTGGGGCTAATTGGCGTAGGATGCGTGATGTTAGGGCTGTGAAAGGATTACTAATTTATATATTTTTCCTAGAAAAATGAATGCATCAGTATTGTCAGGAAGCATCTATTTCGAAACTTGCCTCAAACACTGGCAGGAACCTTACCTCTGCATATGTGGATCTGAGTTCAAGACTACCAATGGTGAAGTACCAAAGAATATTCCCGTCAATGCCTACGGAATTGAAAAAGTCACTTTAGTCGAGACTGGAGAAACTAAGTAAGTGATTTTTTACGTTTATCCATTTACCCTTTTTACGTTTTATTCATTTACTCTCAAATTTTTTTTCTGATATCTTAGGAATGTATACCGATGTGTGAACAATGTCACATCAACAAGACAAATCGACCAGCGACTTCCCTTGATTCTTGTAATTAATGTTACAGAAATTAGTATTGATGACGAAGGAGTATATCTTCAAAACAAGAACCTATCCGAAGAAATCAGTTTTCCCTATGAGGACCACGTTATGGCAAAAAGGTAGGCATTAGAATTTTATTTCATTAATTTTCTATCTTGCTAATCTTCAAATATAGGTATCGCCTAGCTGAAGTTTCATATTGCAATGGAAGCCACCACGTTGCTGACATCTACTTTGAGAAAACTAAGAATGTAGGCTGGTATCAATATGACGGGTTAGAGAAGACCTACCATGCAAGAGCCATGTATATTGGACACTCACGCTCACCACTAAAAAATGGGTATACTATGGACTTTGTCATTTATACAATGATCTGAATATGTCATTAGAAAAAGGCAAATATTAGTCAATAAAGTCACATGAATTTAGCCAATCAAATACAGGTTTTACAAAAAAATCGAATTTCACCTGATATGATCAGGTTTCATCAAAAAAGTCAGATTTTACATGATACAACCAGTAAAATTCAGATTTCATCGAAAATGTCAGATTTCACATGACACAAATAATAAACGCAGATTTTACACAGTAATCGCAAAAATAACAGATTTCACATGATACAATTGATCAATGCGAATTTTCCCTTTTTGCAACCTAGGTTTCACCCTGTCGTATGATAATAATAAATAAATAAATAAAATTAATAAAAAAATTACTAAAATTATAACTGATATATATAAATATTATCATTAATTCAATATTATCAATAATTTAAAATAAGAACACGTGAATAGAAGATGCAGTTATAATAAAAATTAGTCATAATGATATTTAAATTATATAGTTAGCTTGATAATATTCTACTTCTTTCTATTTCTTTCTTTTTCTTTCTTGTATTACTCATTTTTTTATATTTATTTCACTATTATCTTTATTTGAACATATTAATCATATCATTCTCATTATTTTCTATATTTAGTTTAGTTTTTATTTTCTATTTTTGCTATTGATATTTAGATATAGAACAAGATTATTAATTACAATGTAGTTAAATTTTATATAATTTAGAAGAAAACCAGTAATTTTATAATATTAGTAAAGATTTATTATGTCACTATAACATGAAAACATGTATAAAGACAAGTGCTGATAATTAATAAAAATCAAGTTTTTTAGTTCTAGTTTTAAGTTCTTAAGTTTTGTTTAAGTTTCTTTTGGTTTAATGATGAGTTTGACATGTTAAATTGATTTTATTTTGGAATTATAAGTAGTTTTTGGTTAAATTTATCTTTTAGTTTAGTTTTGTTATTAGTTTAGTTTTATCATCATCATTTTTATCTTGTCAAGAAATATTATTCTATTATCATAAACATTATTTAGTTATAAAATTTAAAGTAAATTGCTGTGAACACAGTCATTATTGCCATTTTGAAATACTTTTATATGCAAAAGCTTAAAACAGTAACAATATATAAAAATATTCAAAAATTTTTATCTTTGAAAAATTATAAAAAAAAATGAAAAAAAAATTATGCAAATAAAAAATAAAAAGAGATTTAAAATAAAAATAACTAATTTTATTACTTATCAATTTATTTAATTATAATTAACTAATTTATTTTTAATAATTTTTGAAAATGAATAAATTTTTATTCTATTTTACTATTATTATTTTTAAAATAAAAAATTATAAAAATGGTTTTTTAGCTTATTAAAAATTAAAAAAAATTATAAATAATTATAATTTTCAAAAAAAATGTAAATAAAAAATAATAATAATTATAATTAACAATAAAATAGTGAACTTTTTAGAACAATTTGTATATATTTTTTCTTATTCAATTTTTAGATTTCTGAACTTTTTGAATAAATTATATAAATTATATTATCATTATTCACTATTTTTTTTGATCATCTAATATAAGATATCATTAGATCTCATGTGATATTCAATCAATTTCTATTTCTAAATATTTATTTATTTATTTATTTTTATCTTTTATTTACATTTAGTGATATTATAAATTATCAATCACTTTATTTATTTATTTATTACACAATTTTTATTAATTATTAGTTATTATATTTTATTAGTTCTTGATTTCTAATTATTAATCTATTTAATTTTGATTATTAATTTAATTTTAATTATTAATTCATCTAATTTATTTAATGTAATATTAATATTTTGCTAATTTTATTTGTAATATTTAGATTAATTTATATTATAATTATTATTTCTTGATATTATACATGTTATAACTTTATTATTTTATTGATTTTTTATATTGTTACAAATCTTATAGATCTGTATTACTTTAATATATATTTAAATAAATATAATTTAACATAAAAAATTAGACATCTTGTAATTTATTTTTGATTTTAGTAATAATAAAGAATAGATCAGACTGCTAATTATTCTAATTATTTTATTCTTATTGATTTTTTTTGTCTTTCTTGTTATAATAATTTATTACATGTTGAATTATTATTAATACTTGTTAAAAGTTCCACTTGTGAAAATTATAAATACAATCTTTGTCACTTGATATTTGCTAATTTGAGCAAAAATATTACTATTTGATTTATTTAGTTGAAATGAATTGAATGGTAGTATTTTTGTTCAAACTGGATCATGAATTGTTAAGAATAAGATTATTACATATTGAGATAAAATAACTAATTGTATTTAGTGCGCGAGCATACAATACCTAATATAAAAGTTTCAACAATTTATAAAAGATATAAATGATCAGTATTTGTATTGTTTTTTGTATTCAGAAATTCTATACATAGAAATAAAATACTTTTGCAAATTAAGCCACTTGTAACCTATATATGTGAACAAATTATCTTTTCCAGTTGTCTATGTATCTTCCATATTTGCTTTGATTTTTCAACACCATCTGATAATAATACATATGAATAAATTATTTCTTCAAATTTGACAAGAGGCTATGTTCAAGAATTAGTTATTAATTTTTTAACATCATATAATAATAACATATGTGAACAAATTATCTTTTCGAATTTGACAAGAGACTATATTCAATATCTTAAAAATTTAGTTATAAATACATTTATATTTTTCTTTAATTATTTTATTCACTCAATAATACTATTATTAAAACTATTAACACATTAAAATTATCAATATATTAAAACTATCAATATATTAAAACTATCAATGCATTAAAACTATCAATACATTAAAACTATCAATATATTAAAACTATCAACACATTAAAACTATCAACATATTAAAACTATTAACACATTAAAATTATTAACATATTAAAACTATCAACATATTAAAACTATCAATGCATTAAAACTATCAACATATTAAAACTATCAATATATTAAAATTATCAATATATTAAAACTATTAATGCATTTAAATTATTAAACACATAAAAATTATTAAATATTTTAAAATTATTAACTGCATTAAAATAATTATGATCACATTTACATTCAATATAAACACCAATTTCAACATATTATTATTTATATTTTCTAATCATAAATACTTATATACATTCTTTAATTTATAAATGTAATCAAGAATTTAATTCATGGTACAATATCATTTAGTGATAGAAGTTGCAATTATCACCACAAGCTGTAACTAGTCAATATGTTATTCTCATTTAGTTTGATTAATACTTTATTTATTTTCAGATTTATAAGATCTCTTATTTTGTTCAAAGTTATCTTTGTTTAATTATTCTACTGCTTATGAGTGATAGATATTGAAATAAAATCCTTTGTAATATCTGTAAGATGAATAATATATTGCTGAAATAAATAAGAATATTACTCATTGTTTTTGTATTTGGACTAAAATTGATATCTTTCAGTAATGAATATAGAATATAATCTTTGAGCAATTTTTTATATTAATTACATATATTTATTTGTATTATGAAATAAAATTATGACTTAATAATAATTGATAATATTTGTATTATAAAATAAAATTATGACTTAATAATAATTGATAATATTTGTATTGAACATTTTACTTGCATTCTTTTACATATACTATATTACAAATTCTTTAAAAGATATAACTATTTACAATAAATTCATTTTTGCGATTGAATCTGGGAATAATATAAATTGTCTTATCAATATTTTTTATTGATATACAGCTAAATTATTCAGTTTGCTTCAATTTTGGACAACTTATAGTTTCTCATCTTCATCAGATAAATAATATTATTAAACAAAAGTGAAATTAAGTGACTTACTTTTAGCTTTAGTCTCTCTATAAAGTTTGAATAATAATAATATCTAACATTGATAATATCAATATATATTAATAAGTTAAGTATATGCATTAGTAATTTATGTGCTCTTGAAATTCTAAACACTCTTATCTGGTCATATCAATTTACTTCATCTTCTCTATTATTAATGCTTATTATCATATTTGAAAATATTGTCACCATTCACTTTATTACTTGATCACCTGACATGAGATATTATCAGATACCAAGTGATATTTAATCAATTTCTATTTATAAACATTTATTTATTTATTTATTTATTTTTAATTATCTTTTATTTACATCTAATGATATTATAAATCACCAATTATTTTATTTATTTATTACGCAATTTTTATTAATTATTAGTTATTATATTTTATTGATTCTTAATTTCTAATTATTAATCTATTTAATTTTGATTATTAATTCATCTAATTTATTTAATGTAATACCAATATTTTACTAATTTCAATTATAATACTTAGATTAATTTGTATTATATTTATCATTATGCATGTTATAACTTTATTATTTTATTGGTTCTTTACATCATCACAAATCTTATAGATCTGTATTACTTTAACATGTATTTAAATAAATATAATTTAATATAGAAAATTAGACATCTTGTACTTTATCTTTGATCTTGACAATAATAAAGAATAGATCAGACTGCTAATTATTCTAATTATCTTATTCCTATTTAATTTCTTATCTTCCTTGTTATAATAATTCATTATATATTGAATTATTATTCATATTATTTATAAAGCTTCACTTGTGATAATTATAATATAATCTTTGTTACTTGACATTGGAACTCGTATTTTAAAAAGACTTATATTATATATTTTTGCATGAATACAGTCACTATCACCTATCTCGTGAATATCTTCATCAGTAAAGATCACAGACTGGTAACAGATTTTTGGTGCTCACTCTGTGGAGCAAAAATTACAAAGAAAAACTGAATCCAACAAGACCAACAGCAATAGAAGTGCAAAAATAATTTCGTTTACTTATAATTGCATTAATAACTGAAGAATTATCAAATAACGATAAAACTCATTTATTTAATTTAGTAGAAATCCTTTTTG